TTCCACCAGCGTGGGCAAGGCACAGAGCTATTCCCACAGCTACCTTGAGGACCAACATCAAGCTGTGGAAACCACTGGCTCTCAGAGCTGGACAAGCCCCAGCTCTGGGGGGAAGAAAGAAGCGGGGTGGAAGGTGGGTCTATTTACCCCTCTGACTCTTTCTGCTGAGGGGCCAGGCCTTAAACAGAAACCGTCTGGTGCATCTTCCAAGGAGCTGGCCCAGCGTGGAGCTGCCTTTTGGCAGAGGGAGACGCCGGCTTCCTCCGTCAGCGGGGCGATGAGCAGCTTCACACATGCTCCACTGAGTCACTGCTTCGTTGGTGGCCTCCCCAGCGCGGGATGGCTGAGCCCAGCCGCCCCGGGTGCACACGGGGGAACCATTTTTGGCTCCGGTGACAGAGGCATCAGCGAACACTGCTATAAATAGCGGTGTCGAAGGAACAAGACGGTCAGGCTGTCCGAATTCTGGCATGGCCCTGCTAGCGCTGATAGCAGTGCCCTTTGCTTGTTCTCTTGCCGCCAGGTCCTCTTATCTATTCTTCCAACTCCGGGTGTTTCTGTTACCTTGTCACCAGGTCCCCCACTCTGACATTGCAGCCTCCTGGGATGGCTGCAGGTCCCTGCTCGCATTTGTTGGTCCCTACTCTGCGCTCCAGAAAGGACGTAAAACTAAATGCGCTGCAGGGACACGGTGGAGTCCCCACCAGTGCAGCCTGGGACCCCTCATGGCCGACACCACTGGGTCGTTGGGACATGCTGGGAGCTGCTGCTGGGCATGCAGGCATCACCATGGAGATACGGGGTTTCACTACACTTAAGAGCACTCCTGCATTTCTGCTTTTCTTCTGCAAGGAAGATGTTACCTCTGGATCATTCCGATCTCTGTTACGGTGATGGGGAAACTGAGGCAGGGAGGTGTCATGACTTACCCTACATACATGAGGATGAGGAGAGCAGAGCTCACGCTCTGCCGGAGCTCCCTGCCCTGCAGCTGCTCACCAGGGCCGTCACACCCTTACCAAGAAGCCCCACAAGTTCTTGGGGTTAAATTCTGGGTTCGTCATGAAAAGCTGTTCTCGCTATTCAAAGGCCATGATTACCTTGCGAACATCTGCGCTGACAATAGCTGAGTGGCAGCATAATTCTCCATCAGCTCTGCCTCCGCTTTCTCCTCCTCCATGTTCTTTATTTTAAAGCACACTCATTGCAAAGCCCTTCGATGCCTGATGAAGGAAAAAGCTCAGAAAACAGGCAACAGAAACAAAAACTCTGGTTTGCAGCAAACCAACGACAAGACGTCACAGACCCAACTGCACAAACCTCCCCCCACGGCCTTGGCCCATGGCTCTCCATGACCCGTTGGCTCCTTGGCCCCAATGCCAATGCTGGTCCCCAAGAGCGAGTCATGGGCTCGGGGTGGTCTTTGCATGAACATCACAGCCAGCTCTTGGCTTTGGCATGGACATCCTGACCTCCCAGCACTGGGTGGGCCCACCTGGACTTTCACTGGGGCAACGTTGGCCCTATCAATGCTGGAGTTCGATTTTTTTTTTTTTTTTCTTTTTCTTCCAGGCATCTGGTGGAAGGACACGCAGGAGTGGGGATGGGTGTGGGGAAGGCATCCCAGCAAACGAGGCTGCACGAGAACGCTCTCCGCCACGGGCCATCCGCCCCTTAAACGAACACCCATAGCAGAGATGCTGCCCTGGGGCCTATGGACATTCCTTGGCTATATTTGGTGACGGATGGAGAATTTGTTGCTTCCCCTTAACCCATCTGTTCTCCTGACCGGCAGGGAGGAGCTAACACCAGAACTGCAGTATCGCTATTTGGATAAACCCGGTACTTCAGCAGCAATAAATCTCCTCTAAAAAGCTTTTGCTGCCTCCCACCTGTTGGCTGGGAGAAGATCAAGTTGACAAAAGTCTTCTGCCAAATTGTATTTTTATCTAGGACTCCATCGTGAGCCCAGGTTACAACAAAAGCCTGTTCACGAAGCGGAGGGAGGTAGCTGTGTCACAGCACATCTCTCAGCTCTGGAATCCCACCTCTCCCAGAGGTCTCCAGTTCCCAGGTAGCTGCTTTTATTACATTTTTCCGAATTCCCTTAAATCCCAAAAGGCCCTTTTTCTTCTGTCACCCCCACCCCTTCACCATAAAACCTGGGAGGTCCCACACAGGACCCCAGACTCTCTTGCTGGCTGCACCAGGGAGCCAAAATACCCATTGTGAGAATGGCAACAGAGGGAGCCGGGCTGGGACCAACACAGTTTATTACAGAAAAACACCCAGAGGGATTTCATTAACATGGCAGTCCATTCACAAGAAAAACCACCAGAGGACAATGAAGTGAAACCCACAGCAACAACACACAGCGGGAAAGTCCAGTCGTCAGCCAGCGCAGCACAAGAGGCACAACCGTGCTGGCCCGTCAGGGTGGGAGATGTGCCCAGCCCATGCGGCCGGTCCTGGGGACCGCAGCGCTCCCCCAGCCCCAGGGAATGTCACGGATGGGCACAGGAGGAAAGTGCACAAGCAGCAAATCCACATCTGCCAGCTGGAGTGATGGAGGAGAGAAAAATGCGTAGGAAGCCACATGGATAAGAGCAAATGGGGCAGCCATTGCGGGAATGGAAAACCCTCCCCGCCCAGGAAGGACTCGGGAGGTGCGGAGGGAGCTCTGCCTCCCTCGAGGCCCGTTTCCCGAGCCCCATGTCTCCCAGCGAGCCCCTACGCTGCCCTGGCAGCAGGAGGACCCTAAGCAGAGTCACTAAAACTCCCGTGCCCCTGCTCCCCAGCTCGCACCCAGCTCCCTGCGCATCTCGGGGCCCGGACAGGCAGCAGTGAAAGCTGCTGAGACCCAGGGCCCTGCCCCAAAACCACAACACATTGCTTCCCTGGAGCTAACGGCGCCTTCAGACAGGGCATCTCCTCCTGCACAGCCCAGCCCTGCCAACACCCCTCAGCCAAAGCACGCATCACCCACGGCACCCGGTGCAAGCACCCATCCCCAGTGGCTGTGCTTGCACCCTGTATGCGATCCCACCAGCACCCTGCCCCGGCCAGGGGTTCCCAAGGGCTTGCTGACAGCCCTGTTCCTCCCGCAACGTCACCCCCCGGGCTGGTGGGAGGCCCTGGTGCAGCCCATTTGCGAGCTGGGCTTGGCTGGGCTTCCACGATGCGATCTTCAGGAAACACCTTGGAAATGTCTACTGGGAGGCCCGGCTGTTCCCCCCCAGCTGCCAAAAAGGTCTCCGAGATACAGTTCAGATCCCAGTATCTGGGGTTGACATTAAAAAGATGAGACCCTTTTATAAACCTCTATATTAATAGATGTGTTACTGAGATACTCATTTCTTGCAAGACTTTTTTTTGTCTGTTTGGATTTTAGACCTTCCCCTAAGGTGCTCCTCACCCAGATGTGACAAATAACAGTCTGGCAAAGTGAAAGAGTTCAAGGGGGGAAAAAAAGTGCAATTTGCTTTTCGCTGCTAGAGCAGGATTTAGTGCAACGAGAAAACAGTCTCCCGAGCCACCAAAGGCATTGCCAGCTTGTTTATATATTCGTCAAAAGTGCGATAACTCGAGCTCCAGCCTCGCTGCCGGGAAGGGCTGAGCTGCGTTAGCCGAAACCTCCCTGCAAAGTCGAGCCAGAGGCAGACACACACCTCGGAAAACTTCAGCCCATGGAGTTGATGTTATAGAAAAAAAAACCCTACTGCCTGATAACGCAGGGCATCCTTCGTGCCCAACCACGGGGCGTACTGCCTAAAGAAAAAGGAAAAAAAAAAGAACAAGAAAGAAGTGATCTTTAAATTTTCCTCCTGAGCGTGTCCTTTGGGACAGGGCTCTGTGCACAAATGTCAGTGGGATTTTCACACCGATTTCCGAGCAATTCTCTGATTGATTTCTCTTCCTGTTTTTTAATGGGAGACTGGGTTCTCTCTCCCAGCATCGCTAGCAGAGGTGTCTCTTCTAGGAAACACCAGAGGTTTTAAGCAGCTGAGGAGAAAGAGATCATCAACTCATATGGGCTCAGCCTAGAAAGGGGGGAAAAAATCCTTTCATTAAAATCCCCAGGCTGAAAATCTCTGCAGATTTACCTAAACGGACTTAAAATGATGTCCCTAATATATTAGGGCCTGCTTTTAACTGAATTCAAGCCCTAGGCATGTGTCTGCGGACGGCTCACACAAGAGCTGGGCTCTGGAGGCCTCACTGAGATGATTATTTTTAAGTGCTAACTCATGCAACTGTGAAACCTAAACTTAGAAACCTGCGCCAACAATACACTGGCCCAAATCTCCAAGCTGGAAACAGGATTTTTTTTTTTCTTTTTTATATATACTTTTGTTTCTATTCTTCCAAATTTTAATGCATGAAGGGAAAGCTGACAAAATCTTGGTGAAAGGACAAAGACATGAAAGGTTTCTGGCTGGGGAGCAGGGACTGGGTCTGTGAAGGAATAATATTACGGTTTAATTTTAGTTAAAAGGGACAACATTTTGTTTCAAAGCTGCAAGAAGGGGTTTTGTGTGCTCCCAACTTTCCAGTTCAACAGTTCAGCCTGAACATTTGCTTTGTAAATCAAAGGCTTTGGGAATTACCTGGGGTTTTAAAGAAACGCCAGTAGGTTAAACCTGCCTGGCACAAACAGTCCACAAAAGGCGAGATCCATCCTCGAGGGATTTTGCCTGAAGCAAGTGCAGAGCGCGGAGGAAGAGGGAAACGGCCGGTGGGGCTGCCTGCCGCAGGGCAGCCTCCAGCCCCACGAGGACCGGGGACGACGCCACGACACTGCAACGAATACAGAGGCGAAGGGAAGCCTTTCGTCAGCCCCCTCCTCCATCCGTGCCCCCGACAAGGCTCCCGCTGGGGAATCACCTCGCGCTCGGCAGGGCAAACGCCCTCCGCCTCGCAGACCGCAACCGAGGTCGGAGCGGGGTGCACGGGGTGAAGTCTGTGCCGCACGCCAGGGGCCGCGGGACCAACTAGCTCCACTACTTGCTGTTTGGGGTTTGCTTCTCCTGCGCTGGCCGCTTGTGCTTCTGGGCGACGCCGTAGGGGACGTGGGCAGCGATGGTGCCCATCTCCTTGGCTCCTTCCACATGGAACAACTGGTCATCGAAGAAGATGTGAGGACGGATCTTCTTCAGCAGCGGCCCCTTGGGAGCCCCGGCCAGGAACAAAGCCTCATCCGTCTCCAGGCCCCAGCTGCGCAGAGTCTTTAGGGCCCGGGCTCCCGAGCTGGCCGCGCTCCTGGCGGTGACCAGGTAGGTGCGAATGGGACACTCCATCCTCAGCCCCTTGGAGTAGAACTTCTTCTGCAGCTTCCCCAGGGCCTCCAGGAAGCCCTTCAGGGGTCCCTGCCAAAGCAAGAAGAAACCATCACTTTGCAGACCTCCATGCTATCCCTTCCTCCAGGCTCCCAGTCCCAGACGTGCTGGCTAACCCCTTCTCCCAGTGAGCCCCCAGAAACGACAGCGAGGGGCCGGCCGCAGCCATCCTGTGGGCCAGCGGCACCAGGCTGCTGACCCACCCCATCTCACACTTCACGTGCCGACCCCTGGCTTGTTCTCAGCGGTGAGAGCAGCCCTGCGGGCTGTCTCTCTCCCAGAGGTATTTTCTGGCTGCACCCCAGCGCTACCTGTGCCAGAGGCTTGTTCTCATGAGCCTTTTCATGCTCAAAGAACATGTCCAAGCCGTGAGCCTTCACAATCTGCTCCGACTCATCAGAGAAGAGCACGGCGTCACCATCAAACGCCACCCGCAGCTGGTTCTCCGACACCTCCAGGTCTTTGCTGGGGCTGAAGATGGTGGCCGCAGCGATCCCTGTGGAGGTAAAGCGTGAGGCAAGAGGCGGCAGTTACCCAAGGACCCGGCCTCGTGGCTTATCTGGTGAGGAGCGGAGCAAAACACGACGGGCTGGAAGCAAACACTGCAAGGAAATTCATGCACCCAGTAGTGCCGGCAGCTTGGCCCCAAGACCTTTTACAGCAGAAACAAATCCCCAGATGACAAACCTCCCTTTGCATACAAGAATAAATGGGAAAAACAGTGCCTTTGCCTTGGAAGAGCTGTGGAGCTTGAGGAAAGCCTTATTTCTATGGAAACTAGAGGCTCTTTGGAGCACCAAGGATGGTATGTGGGACAAGGCAGACCCTAGCTGCACATTGACGTAGGGACAAGGACACTGGAGCTATCGCTCCTGGCACCAACCCCCTACGGGCTCCAGGCTCCCCCCGCTGCCCCCCCCAAGCCGGACCCCAGACTCACCCTCTTCAATGGCCCCACTCACTTTCTCGGCGTCGGAGGAGAGGTAGAGGTTGGTGTGATAGGCCTTGAGGTAACAGATGGGGCTGTTCCCTCCCGTCATGCAGAACCTCTCGATGAACAGATCTGAGGGCAGACGGACCCCGGGGTGAGCCTGACTGCCCCCCAAACAAACCTTGACGCTGCTCTCCTGTGGCCTCCCAAGAGTCGGCAGGATGGGGGCTAATTTTGGTACTGCCATTCAACAGCATGGCCGGCAGCCAGAGCATCCTCACCGCCAGCCAACTTCCACTCAAAGCCCAGGAAATTTGGGAGAAGTGGGCTCAGCGTGTGATTTGGAGGAAGAGACAGGAGAAAGCGTCTCCGTATCTCGCTGCCAGGCAATAACACTCCGCCCAAAAGCCCTCAGCACCTGCGCAAAGGCCAGCTTTGCTCGCAGCTTACCATAGTGGTTGATGCTGTTGATCAAGCGAACCCCAACCTGGGCATGGTTGTTGGTCATGAGGACGATGTCGAAGAGCTCCTCGCTGTCGGGGTAGAGCTCGCGGAGCTGCGTGTTCACCGCTTCCAGCGCCTGCAGCACCCCAGGGCGAGGGGGGGGGGGGGGGGGGGGGTGTCAGCGAGCCCCAGGCACGGCCCTGACCCCCTTCTCACCGAGCAACACACTGCTGTTCACCAAAACTAGGGATCTGGCCCAACCCCAGCTGCACCCTGAGCCAAGCTGACATCAGCAGGCAGCTTTAGCTGGGGGAAAAAAGACTGATTTGGGGGAAAAAAAACACATAGCTACTCTCTTATTTTTGAACACAAAAGGTTTCAAGTTTTCATTAGGAGATGAGAATAAATGAGCTCGAAGTTACAGATCAGTGGTTTTCAAGCAATCGGAAACAGAACGAGTCTCTCCCCAGCAAGTGGATTAGGTTATTCATTGGGAAAAGGCAAGAGGTTGCTTCAGTGAGGGCCAGCACACAAAACTGCACGAAATCCAGTGGAACTGGGGCAGAAATTGGAAAATATTTTTAAAGTTTGAAATGCCTCATTTCAACATGTCAAAATTAGAAATTGGCTGACTCCGTAGCAAGGCTAAATTCAGCCATTTAAAAGAATAAATAAATTGTAATAATAAAAAAAAAAAAAAGATATGAGATTTCCCTAAAGGGAAACTTTAAATATGATCCAAAGAGATGATTTCTTCAACCCTTGGGCTCACTTGCTGCTTTGGAAAATTCAGCGTTTCCCCAGTCCTGGAAGAAGCGCACCGCTTGCCAGGAGGTTTATTTGACCTCTGTTTGCTCGGTGGCTACATCCCTTCCGCCACGCTGCTCATCTCCCATCCCTTCCCCACACGAGCACCCCATAGCACTCCCCTCTCCCCAAAACTTTTGGGTCAGGACCACGGTGCAGATTCAGCTTAGGCGGGTGGATGCTCACCTTGACGAAGGGGAAGGCGGCCCCAGGGAGGAAGGGCTCGTTCTCGTGGTCCAGCTGGTATTTCACGTAGGCCTCCACCCCTTGCTCGTTGTAAATCTTCTGCTCCTCCTCCATGCGGAAAAGCGCTCGCGACGACACCGCGATGGTGATGGCGTTCTCGGGCTTTGGCTGCAGGGAAAGGGAGAAAATGGGGAGGCAGCCCCCGCACCCAGCCCCACCACCCGAGAAGGCATCTGTTCGCTTTCATCATGGAAGGCCACGGGGTGGGTGATACCTCCATAGCGATTTGGAGGATAACGGGGCAGCTGCAACCCTGATCTTCCAATGCTTCAGCAGATGAAGCCCTGATGCACCATCCCCACACATTCGGGATACCCGAGAGCCTTTTTCTGCTGCTCACACCATGCCCAACCCCTCTGACTGCAAACAGGCTCCCAGGACCCATCCAGACCCAACGTGCTACCCCGGGAGAACCGCTCAACCCCAGGCAGAAGGAATTTATGTGGCTTTTCCCGCCCCCCAGCCAGGAAAAACCACACACCGCGGCTCAGCCAGATCCACACTCCCACGATGCTGTCCAGATGTGACAAACAACCCGTGCCAGCTCAGCTTATAAAAACACTTGATATAGTTATTGTGGGCGGAAACATGACAAACAGGTGGTGCAAGCAATGATTTATGAGTCATTATTATTAATGTTTGAGGGCTTGATCCAAAATCCACTGGAGTCAACAAGGGGCCTCTAGCGGGACTTGGCAGCGAGAGAGGGGACACCAGGAAAGTCAATCTCATCGTGACCCCCACCCGTCCTCCCTCTCTCCTTGGAGGGCAGAAGGGCGTTAATCCCCATCACTTTCTTGCAAGCAGGAAAGCAAATGCCTTACTGATGGCCAACAAGAAATCCTCGCTCCCAGAACAGCAAATCCTAAGGAGGGAGAGCGGCGCAGGCAGCCCCGTCCCCGGCAGGCTCTGCCGGCAGCGAGTGCTAGGAGCAGGCACAGGCTGGGGGGCTCACACGGGGGTGCTCCCCGGGAGCGATCCCGGCCCACGCGCTCTCCGCAGGGAGTCTGTGAAACCCAGGCCGTCAGCACTTCAGAAACACCTCACCCTCAGCTCCTCTGCGATTTCCAGGATCCCGGTGTAGCATGTTGCCCCGTGAGTAATCCTCTGGCAATGCCGTTTGCCCAGGGGCAGGAGGGCGCCTTGGCCAGCTGCTCCGCACACCCAGGTGCTCCAAAGTTCAAGCTCCCACCCTGCCCAGGTCTGAGCTTTACAGAAAGAGCAGCCTGGCAAGGACAAGGTACCCATCCGCATCAGGGATCGTCGGGCTGGGCCTGCCCCAGGGCTCGCTCTGTCCCCATCCCGGCCCCTCTGATCCTGCCCAGCACGGAGATGCACCCAGGAATGAGTCAATGGCAGCCGCCATGCCATTCCCAGCACCATGCCATTCCCAGCACCATGCCATTCCCAGCACCACGCCCCCTCCCGTAAGCGGTGCCCGGGGCCAGCCCTGCAGCGCGGTCAGTCCCAGACACCTCTCCAAGGCCGCATCATTACTCAGAATCCCCAGCAAGCAGATTAAGCAGTGGGCGATTAGGACTAAACACAGATTAGCTCAGGCTGAGAACACCACTGCGGCCAGAGGGATCCCTTTCCCACCGCGTTTGCAGAGAAATAAGGTCCCATTCGGAAGCCGCTCTTTGGGGAAAGCAGCTGAACAACCCCCAGGACACGCAGGATCACCGGGTCCACGCAGAAGCTGATCAGCGACACCAGCATCACTCCCACAAGTGAACCACAGCCAGGACCCCCATCTTACATTTACCCACCCGGTAGGCGTTAGCCATTAACTTGCCATGGGCCAAGTCTTGGCACTTCAACTCATTAATTAATAACTCTGGTGTCATGGGCCATTTATTAGCTGAAAATATTAATAACTATTAAAGGTCTTGGGACATCCGGCCATTAGCCTTCAGCAAGGAGTCCTGCCGCTCCGTGCTGCTCCCGAGCCCCTGCAGCGCTGGGTTATTTATCCGGGTACGCAGGAGAGCTGCTGGGCGTTTGCTCCCCAGCCCTGCTCCCCGAGGGACCGCAGGGCAGAGCATCCTCCGCAGCCCGCCCCGCAGAGGGTCCCCAGCGGGGAAAGCAGGTCAGCAGCACGCACCGCACAGAGGCATGTTCAAGGGGGTGAGATGCGTGTGCGGGGCTATAAGCCCAGCCTAGCCGGATGCCCAGCCCCAATTTGCATCTCTATCTCCCCGCAAGGCACACCTTGCACCCGGCGGGTGCCAAGAGCACAGGCACCTTGCGCAACGGCCGCAGGCTGCTCAAGGTCCCTTCCCTGCCATTTAAAGGCACCAGCCTCCAGGAGGTTAATTTAAGAGGTAATAAACACAGCAATAAAAATAACCGTAAGCTCGGGGCCTAACCCTGCCCCAGCGTGGGCTGCTGGAGCCCCAGCTGCCTGCGGGCGGGAAGCCCGGCCTCCGGGAATGGGACCTGCCGGATCCTGTTCGCTCCTGCCAAGGAAGATTTGCACCTTTGGAGCACTTTCTGCAGGAACGTCTCACCCGGGCACTAACGCAGCTCCCAGCTCCGGCTGGGCTGGAACAGCCCTGCTGTTCTCTGGGAAACGCTGACACTTGAAAAATAAGGCAATTCTCTGCGAGGAGGGAGCTGTATTTTGCTATTTCTTTGAAGTGGAGGCTTCATTTGGAAGCGTTCCCTCCTCAAGGTTGTTTAGATGCTTCTCCATCCCCACTGGTACTGCAGATGATCATTACTAGATTCAAAAATGGACTTTAAAAAGCCACAGCGGTACAGGAACCATGGCACCTCACACCCTCCCTCAGAGTGCTGTGAACAACCCAACAAACCCCACTTTGCCTTGAAACATCACCGTTTTTGGGGCGAACACCCTTCATTTCCCATAGGAAGCCTGTGCACGGGAGGGGTCCCACTCGCAGCCCTCCTCGGGATGCATTCAGTCCCACGAGCTGTGGCGGAGCCTGCCCAGCACCCCGTCCCAACACAGCCTCCTGCTCTGGCTCCCAGCCCCGGCGGGTTTGGGCACCGAATGACAAACCCTGTTCTACCCTCAGAGCAGCGTGCAAGGTCAGCCAAGGTCGACTAAAGCTCATCATCCAACACTAGCCCGGGAAGTGGCTGGGGGGCTCAGCTCTGCTG